AGTCGAGCAAAAATATCGAAAACGAGAAAATATATCACCTGTAACGAACGAACAAAATCTAATATTATATATACGATCGATCGAATTTTCGAGTCGAGAAGAAATGTCGAAAAACGAGAAAATGTATCGTTTATAACGAACGAACAAAGTCTAATATTATATATACGATCGATCGAATTTTCGAGTCGAGCAGAAATATCGAAGACGAGAAAATATATCACCTGTAACGAACGAACAAAATTTAATATACGATCGATCGAATTTTCGAGTCGAGAAGAAATGTCGAAAACGGCGATGGGAAAATTTCGATGAAACGGGACGGAAGAAAGGCTATAGGGGGACGTCGATTATTATGCTGATATAAAACTGATCGATGTACTACTGGATAGATGGATGGATAGAAAGCATGGACGAAAGCGTCTCTCGTTTGAAAATAACGTTCCAGATGTTTCGAGCGTGGCGCGAGGAGGAGAATGACGCTTTCGGCTCGAATCGATCGTGGCCGCCAGACCACGACGACTCAGACGTGCCACGTTCACGCGACAAATAGAAGCAGAGCCAAGCTTTAATTCGTTCTTCTCGACTTCGAACGACAACTCGTACGAATGGATCTCGATTAACCGATCTCGATTGATCGAATCATCGCCTCGATACAACGAAAACGTTGGCATCAAAGGCGGCAGCTGCCTTTTCACTCACTGCTCCCAATAACCTCTCCCTACTACTACTGCTGCTGCTGCTGCTGCTGCTGCTGCTATTACTTTCTATCGCGTTTCGAAGAGTCGTTTGGCAAAATCGCGATCATGCGTGATGAATTCGAGCGAACTGGTTCTCTCGTAAATATCGCGGATATTTTGGAAAAAAAATTTTCGAATCCAATATCTGCTCGAAAAATCTTTCCTCGAGCAATTTTCTCGCAAATCTTCTCTCTCGGTATGAATATTTAATACCACCGGCTATTTCGTCCAAAGTATTTTCCATTCTTTCGTTTCGAGGCGTCCTCCGCCGCGCCAAATGTTAACTCTGTCGTGTATAATCGAGTCACGTAGATTTCTTAAGTCGGAAAGCTTGTCGAACGCGAGGAAAAAGGATTTTCTTCCCCCTCTTTTGGAAATTCCATTGTTGCGGAAGCCGTTACATTTCGCTAATAATATTCGACGACGTGAAATGGTGGAGGAACTTGGTGGAACGATTGAAATTGGAAAAGCTCGTGTAACTGTCGACGAAATTTAAAAACTCGGGTAAAAAATTCGGAATAATAATACTTTTAATCAGAAAAGTGGCGGATAACCGGCGAAGCGTGATTACGATGCACTCTACGTGGTGGTGTATCGCGGTGATAAGAAAGGGACGAACCCCTCTTGTGGGGCTGCTGACCCGACAAACCTACGAGCCCGTGTTGTACACAAACTCGGAAACGAGCGGCGGATCGATTCAGAGAAATTATTATAACGAAATTATAATAACGATTATTATAACGAAAATATATAGGAGAGAAAGAGAAATATGAGATAAATTTAAGAAATTCACAGCCACGTGTTTGCCGAACCCAAGTCTCTCTAATCGGCCATTCTTTACAGCCCGGCACGCGCACCGTGTATAGCAGCAGTACCGCACACTTTCGTATCGGTCCCTGCCCTTAAACAGTGACTCACTCTCGTTCCGTCTCCTCTCCGTCCCACCTACTTTTTCGTTCCACGCACGATATTAATTATTACTACGATATTCCACGACGTCAAAGAAATTCTAACGCGAATAATCTCGAAACAAACTTCCATCTTCCCCTCCCCTCCATTTGTCCACGAAGACATCTCGAAATCCGAAAGCGAAAGATTTGCGAGGCGCGCGAGCGACGGTATTTTTAGAGGATGAAAGGAAAGGATGAAGGAGACGGGGCGGCCACGGCTTCGTCGTTGTTAGACCATAACACCGCCGCCCGTTCTTCCCTCCTCCTCCCCGATGAGAAATGTCTCGCACCGAATGGTTTTTATCGAATTTATTCGACCAAAAAACCGCCTATCGAGCCGTGGACAAACGGCTGCGAGGGGAACAGAGTGGGGAGGAAGGGCACAGAGAAAGGGGGAGCCGGGGGGAGAGAGAGAGGAGGGGAGGAAAAGAGCAACTTATCGACTTGGCTAGGGTGCATTTTCCATCGTTAAATTCGAAACGAAACAAGCTGGGTCAGCTGGAGGGAAAGCAAAGAGCGAGTAACGGGGATAGAGAAGAAAGAAAGAGAAGGTCTAGGGCAGAGGGGGTGAAGGGGGAGGAGGAGGAGGAGATGTTCGCGCCACGGCACATTTCGTGCGTAACGGCACTATGTAACGAGACGCGCGTTTTCGTCCTTGCATATACCTTCCCATCACCCTAACCGCGCACTTATCACACCGATCGAGCCGCCATAAATATCTAAGACATCCTACAGATATATATCTATACCGAGTACAATTATACTGATGAATTCACTGGCCGAATTCACTCCTAGAATTTCACGTGTATCATTATTATTAAAGTAAAAATGATTTAAAACGATGATAGCACAAAAACGGAAAAGAAAAATGTTTCAAATGTCTGTTACCAGAATATTTGGATTATTCTCTTTGAATATTATTGAATATTATCTCTTATTTCGATCGATGCAATATAACCGAAGAGAAAAGTTTCGAAACGAAGAAGATATCGGAGATGGAATTTTGTAAGAAAGATAGGAAATAGGTCATAGATAGCGAAGGAAAAATAATGGTTTTCGAACGATAAATAAAAAAGTTTGATCTAAAATTTTGTTTCACTTATTTACTTTCGTTAAATTAACGAAATCGTGCTTATCGTGCGCCATGAAATACCACCGCGTGAATCAACGCGAATCCAATCTCGTTTATTTTCATATTTTATAAATCGTGAGAAAAGCTCGAATTCCAATAACGAGCACGTGTGTATTCCAAGATCATCTCGTGCGTACTCTTTCGCAGTAGGCGTCCACGCGGGCGTATATACCTTTTGTTTATTTACCGATGCGAGGACTCATACGAGGAGTATCAAAGGCTGGCACTGTTTCAAGAACTATTTTCGTTTGTAGGCTCTCGCGTCCTCGTTGCACTTTCCGTTTCCCCTATATTTTCGCCTCGTAATTCTCTTCTACAGCGATCCCCAGTTCGCCTTTTAACGACATTCAGGCGTAGCCGCGTTCGTGAATTTTTGCGGCCAGAATTTTCCATAAAAATTCCTCGGTGTTTCTTTCAAGCGCGATACGATTTCCGTTTTCTGTCCGATCGAATTTCTAGCGTGCCAATAGGCCTCCTCCATCGGCCATCTGTCAACCAACCCAATTCTCCCTCTTCATCCTTGTCGCGTATGTATACGCAATACGTACTCTTTCAACTTTCACCGCGTTCGTTTGGAACGAACGTTTTATCGTTGAATTCTCTAAGCAGAGATTAAAAAACAAGCTTCTTTTCTCTCTATTTTCACGCGGTAGCGTTTATCCGATAACTTATCGTATAATCGACGAATTTTCATCGACCAGATTATCCAGACCGGGTAAAATCAAATTCATTATGTAATGGCAAGTGTTGCGATAAATATTGACTTTGATCGAGGAAACGAACTACGAAGATAATCGTATCCGCTATATATAAAGCGCACAACTTGAACGAAACAATGTCGCCTCGTTGATTAATTCTCGCATCGCTTCGAGGTGTTATATCAAAAGCACGAGATTCATATTGAGACGAAACTTGGACGAGGAACGGAACTTAGTTTAAACGGTGTTGAAAGACGATATTCGTTTCCAAAGCAGTTTTAATTTGAGTTCGTTAAATCGTGTCACGAGGAAGATAAAAAAAAAAAAGAAGGAAAGAAAAAGAGCGATGAAAGAAGGCAACCACGCTCGTAACCACAACCGTAACCACAGCGGTATTAACGAAGATACGGATGACCGTTTTGGTCTTTTGCTCGAGAATTCATCACCCGTTCCGTATATCGTGCTCGACAGCCAACAGACCGGCTAGTCGAGCATATGAAAGCCGGTCTTACGTTGTGTCCCGGGCTGACGCCATTTTCCAACAAGTTTCCATTTATGGAACCTAATGGTACGCGACCCGTCTAAAAGGTCTCGCGATTCTCTTTCGGCCAAAGCATCGATCTTTCGAATTTCCATGAGTTTCCATTTCTCTGAAGCTATCACTCTTGTTCGAAACTCGTCCACTGTCTTCTACCTTGTCGATAAAACGATCGTTCAACTCCGCCTCGAAATATTACTACGAAAATATTGACTTTGGCAAATACTCTCGAAGAGGTGTTGACCACCGATAACAATGATGGTGTGGAGGGGATGGCGTGAGAAACGGGACGAGTTGTCGCGAAAGAATATGAGGATAGAATCGAACGTCGAGGGGGAGAAAATATAATAAGAACACTTGTCGAGAACACGGTGCGCCGTTCCAATTTCTACTATGCTCTCGATTGTACACGGAAAGGCCACGTGGACGTCCTCTTTTCTACAGATTCATCGAGCCCCTTTCTCGTTTTAAAGGCGTCGAACAATACGAATTTTACGCTCCCATGCGGCAAGCCGGATGCGTTGCTTTTTATCGCGATCACGATTAATCGTGAACAATTAATCGTGGAAACATATTTTTCTAAAGCGTAAGAAAAAGGTATAAGCCGAGCGAAATGCTAAGCTTTCGATTAATCCTACGATTCTAATAAATTTCAATTTCGTTGTATCACGTTGTAACTTACAATTATTAAACAAGAAGGAAGGAAAGCTACGTTGAATTTGAAAACAGCTAAACAACTCGGTGTAATTTTAGATAACGAGAAATTATATAATTTTAGTAGATCTATAATTAGGAAATTACCGATACGATGACGTTTTCAGGGAAAGCACAGGAGATACGTAAAAACATTCGCGTCGTAAATACGAAATCTATCGTTGATTTAAAACTTTTTCTCCATCTTTTTCTTACTCTAAATCTCGGTTGTTGATCTCTAGTCAAGTATAAAAATATACACCAAAAATAATCACAACGATTTTCGAGTGATGACGTGAATGACGGTAGAACCAGTTTCGTCAAGGTCACCGATAAATCTCTCCTTCGATCGAACCAGATTATTACCGAATAATCCGTAAAAAAAAAAAACGATCGACCTTTCATCGATCTTTGCTGACCGCGATAAATAAAATTAAACAAAAATAAAAATATTAAAAACACTCACCTTTTGAGCTTTGCAAGCCGCTGCCAATGGGAGCACGTCGTGCGGATGAGCTGCATGGCGATCTCGAAGACAAAGAGCGCATATCGCGATCTTGCAAAGAGCGCAGTAAAGGGTCAACGGTTCGCCGTTATGATCGGCACAGAGAGGCGTAGTTTCCGCGTTCGAACCGCGAGCACCTCTACCTCCTCCATTCGATTGCCAGCTGCCTCGAGGCGGGCCCAAGTTATGCGTCGCCAAAGGTCCCCTCTTTGGATGACACGATTCTCTGCACGCGTCGCAATACAGAACCTGAAACACGTATTCGCATATCTCTTTATAAACTATATAACATATTTATTTCTATTTTACCGAAAAATTTGTAGATTGCGTACAATTTACTATTATACATAATCATTTGAGATACGATAGTTTTCTTCTAATTACAATCTAGAAAAATAGGAAAGGAAAAAGAGAAATAAGATAAAGAGGCAAGCGTTTACTGACCTCGCACTGTTCGCAGGCGACGGTAGCGTCCCGGGGTTCGGCTTCACACATTTGACATTGCAGTCTCGTGTTTCTCGATTCTTGATATTTTTCTACGATATGTTGCATCGCCCTGTACTTGGGTAAATTGTGAGCTCCTCCTTCGTCAAAATAAACAGTCTTCTGACAAACAGGACAGGAGAGGCATAAAGTGCCGCCTGATGGTGGAAAACCTCCGTTTCCGGGTGTGCCGACATAGCTTCCTGGTCGCGAGCTAGTTGATGTGCTGCTGCACACTACACCAGAATCCGTTTCGGAAAGAATCGAAAGTTTATCCGCTTCCTGATCAGATCCCGGTGCATTCGACGAGTCAGTCGTCGATTCTGGAGGTGAATCCGGTGGTGCTTGCAGATTAACCGCGCATGCAAGGCAAAGGGCATGCCAGCATGGTAATAGCACCGGTTCAACGAACAATTCTTTACAACAAGGGCATCGTAACTCGTCCTCCATCCTCACGACTCGTCACGACGAGAAACTCGTCGCGCGCGCGCTTCGCGCCTTCTACTTCACCGACGACCTCGACCGTCCGACTCTCTTCCAACCGATCCTGGCTCTCCTCTTTCTCTCTCTTCCTTATTTCAATCCTATTTTTTTCTTTCCTAATTCTTTCAATCGTTTGCGCTACGCCTTCTTCTTATAATTTTTTTTTTCAACATACCTTTCGTTCCACGCCTAGTATAATATTATATCTGTCTATTCTTCGCTAATATTTCTCTTTCAAGTTTTTTGTAATAATAACGGAACGAAAATGACAACGTATGCTTATTCACTATTCGTTCGCGGAGAAAAGTAGAAATTTTATTTCGATAATGCTTTCACGACTCATTCGTCACGATTATGAACCATTATATGGATACATTCTCAAATCAAATCATCATATTCATTTGTACAAATCATTTTGATCAATTTAATCTCTTCTCTTGATTGATTATCCTTCGCCTATGGATTGCACATGCATCACATTTGTAAAAATTGTAAAAATATCGACTTTACATTGTTCGCTGCTCTAGTTTGCAAGAGACGCCCCAATGCAACTCGTATCTTTTTCTTCTCAACTAAGCCTATTTGTTACGTTTAACAGTTAAACTATTATTATGATTACACGATTCACTCTTGAAAATATATATGTGTGCGTAAATTTATCACTTCGTTTCAGTTTCGTAAATACCGGCATAACAAATTCACCATACGACATTCACTGTAGAACGTCACCGAGTTGACTGACTCCCGACGCTGAAGTACTTTCGCGCATCACAACTGCGCACCATGGCTCAGGGCCGACTCTCTCCACTTACCACCCGACCTTCATAATAAAATATTATTTTTCATTATGTTACGTCTCTTTTATATTTATCTATTTTCTATATTATGTATATTTATGTATATATATTATACGTTATATATTTCGATGAAATTGCACCATTAATATTATTAAATTTTTACATAATATTATAAAAAAACATTAATAATCATAAACGATATTTTTTTCATAACATATCTTTAAAAATACATAAAAATTTAATTGTTATAAAAATATATTTATATTTTTTTTTAATTTTTCAATTGCATTAAAATTTATCCCAATATTTGTCAATCGATTTTCTTAATAGTTACAGACTCATTATTTATATACATATATTTCTCTTTTAATATTTTCAATCACGAATAGTGACAAATTCAGTGTATAATAATATTCTGATTTTTTTTTTACTCTTTTTTATTATAATCTTAAGATATATAAGATTTCTTTTATCCATTTTTTTTTTCTTCTATATTATCGTATTTTCACTATTTATCATTAATACTCATTTTCTATTCAATATGAAAAAAATAAAATTAACTAAAAGATATTTACGTATTTGAGAATAAAAAAAATGGATTCAGTTTGCTAAATCATCGATTATATTATCTCATTTTTTAAAAAAATAAATAATTTCGTTAGAAATATATATAAATGAAAATAATTTTTTCTTATTATTTATAAAATCCTGATTTTAAATTACATGTATACATTTCTTTATTTTTACAGTGATTCTATTCTATATATTGCTTTTTTTTTAATTAGCATGAAAGAAATTTATTAATGAAACACATCATCGTCAAATTTGATATTGAAAAAAAGTGTGTGGAGGCGCCACATACTAGCTAATAGAACTTCATCAAGCGACATCAGGCAAACACTGAAAATTGACGTCAGAACTATGTATACATTTCTCAGTTCGGTAAGCAAATTATCATTAGGTGATATTTTGCAAATATAACATCATAACATGAAATGATATTTTTTTGAAAATTTACAGGTAAGAACATGGTATGTTTCCTCTCAGTTGCGTTTTCTTCATTGGTCATTGGTTAACACATGTGCCTTTTATTACACTCGTACTTACAGTGTTAAATATATCATCAAAAGCATCGTAATGCAGCGTTAATTGAAGAGATCAACCTTTATTTGCAAACATATTTCTAAACATAACATTGATATTCGGTAACGATGATTTTTTTTAATTCAATTAAATTTAATATATAGCATACAATACAATTTCTATTCCGAAATTTTATAACTAAATTCTTATTTCTATTTAATAATAATTAGTATTAATAATTTTGATAGTAATAATAATTTGAAAAATGACTATTTTAAAAATTTTAATAAATCTATATCTTTTCTTTTTTAGAAAAATTTAAAGTGATAAATCAGTGTGCAAAAACAAACATGTTTGCATTCTTGACAAAAAGAATTTTGTTACAGCAACTTATTTATATACGTCGTTTTGGATGTAAAGCTGCTGCTACTACTACTAGTTCTTCCAGGTTAGTTGATTTTATGACGTGCAATGCATTAAATTTAAATGTAACTCTATTTTTCAATATCATCATTCCTAGTATCAATCGTTGATCTATATTCAAGTATTCATTATTTCTTATTTAATTCAATATAAACTCGTATTTTATCAATTTCATTATTTTATCATTATTTTATATATTATCTTTCATAATTTCTAAAGTCCATATTTTTTTCTTCTATGTTTGTACAACGATGAGTTCATTTCTGTTAATAAATAAATAAAGATAAAAAAAGTTATATGAATTCATGCATGTATGATTAATATGTGATTTGTTATTTTTTCAATTTTATTAAATTATCATCATTGTCATATCATTAATTAAATTACGCGTATAATCATTTTCAGTTCAGATTCATGTAGCTCGTTCGATCTAGTCATTGTCGGCGGTGGTATTGTTGGATGCGCTACTGGTCGAGAAATGTTAATAAGACATCCTAACTTAAAGATAGCAATCGTTGAAAAAGAAAATGATTTAGCAAAACATCAAACAGGGCATAATAGCGGTGTAGTACATGCTGGCATTTATTACAAGCCTGGCTCTATGAAAGTAAAAATATAGCAACAATTGTATATTTCCTAATTCGCCTAATTTCTTCCGAGAGAAATATTATTTTGTTTAAATATGTGGCATTTTAAATTGAATAATAGAATAACGCTCCGTTAAGGGATTTTTGATCCGGCAGGAAATAATTGCAGGCACGACTATGTGTGGAAGGTTTAAAACTGAGTTACGACTATTTTTGTAAAAACGATATATCCCACAAAAAAGTTGGAAAACTAATAGTGGCTCACAATAAAGAACAAGTCAAACAATTGGATATCTTGTACGATCGAGCAGTTCAAAATAATGTACCGGATATCCAAAAAGTTGAAAAACATTGTATATCAAATTACGAAGCTAAATGCAAAGTATTAAAATTATTTTATTTTGGAAATCGTAAAAAGAGAATAAAAAAAAATTAATATTAAGTTTAAAAATAAAATAATAAGAAATACATATGTTTTCTATAGGGAGAAAAAGCAATATGGTCACCGTGGACAGGTATAGTCAATTGGGCAGAAGTTTGTAAACATTTTGGCAACGATTTTCAAAAAATGGGTGGAAAAATACTTTTGAATTTTGAAGTTGTTGGTTTCTCAGAAATGACAGAATCTAAAGGGGAAAATGATTTAAGTCCAATTTCAGTGCATTCGAAAGATAAAGTATATTAAAACTTTCACGTATAGCCATCTTTAATTTGCAATATCTTTATCATATTCTATTATCGTAGTGTATACCAACAAAATACGTGTTAACATGTGCTGGGCTATACTCGGACCGTTTAGCAGTAATGACAGGATGCGATCGTAGTCCACAAATTATTCCTTTTCGGGGAGAATATTTGTTGCTGAACGAAAGCAAAAAACATTTATGCACCACCAATTTATATCCTGTTCCAGACCCTAGATTACCATTTTTAGGCGTTCATTTTACACCTAGAATCACTGGCGAAATATGGCTTGGTCCAAATGCAGTTTTAGCATTTGCAAGAGAAGGTTATCGGTACGAAATAAATATATTTAAAGATCGAATATAGTGATTAATTATAATATATTCTTAGGTGGCGCGATATAAATATAAAAGATTGTATAGAAATGGCAAAATTTCCAGGACTGTACAAATTATGTCTCCGACATATTATACCAGGAACAAGAGATATGATTAAATCAATTTTTTATCCACTTATAATAAGAGATTTACAAAAATTTATCCCCGAAGTAACTATTAGAGATATAAAAAGGTAAAGAAAAGAATATTTTCTTCATATTCTATCATACTATAAATATACTATTTAAGTTATTGATTGTATTTTACGTTTAATTATAGGGGACCATCAGGTGTTAGAGCACAAGCATTGGATAAAAATGGCAATTTAGTAGATGATTTTGTTTTTGATGGAGGAAAAGGTAATATCGGTAAGAGAGTAATACATTGTCGCAACGCACCTTCTCCTGCTGCAACTAGTTCCATGGCAATCGCTAAATATATTGCTGATAAACTAGAAAAAGATTTTAAATTCTGACGAGTTCGACAAGAAATTCGGATATCAAATTTAAAAATAATCCGTGTTAATATAAAAATAAAAATTTATATTTGAAAATAAATACGTAAGAAAATATGCGCATTTTGAAAATAATGTGTTCATGACTTATGTACATACCGTAACGTGCAATAAAACATACTTTATCTTCTTCTTTATTGCAAAATTTTTTTATTAAAAAAAATAGTTTCTAAAAATATTTATATTTTGATATATATTATTATAATAAATGATTTTAATTCATCTGATCTTTCTCATTTCTTAACTTTTCTTCTTTTTTTTCTTTTTACAAATATGCATGTAACTTCTATATTTCATACAAACGATGATGATTGCTTTGGGAATACTTTTAGTCTAAATAATTTCTATCAAATAGAAATAAAAATTAATATCTCTCGTTACAATGATAAAAAACAATATTTAAATAAATTTAGTAATATTAAAATTAATGTAGAAATACCTTTCATAGAGATGTTTAAAAATGATAATTTTTGTATAATATTAAATTATTCTAAACCCTTTTCCTGATATTATAAGAGAAGAATTTGCAAAATCCCAAGCTGTTGTTGAATGGAATCCCATATTTGAAAGAACAACTCCATATTCGCTTAGTGCAAACATAGAGTAAACTGCAAAAAAATATTTGAATTACATCAAGTTTTATTTTTTTTTTTTTTTTTTAAGTCAATTAACTCACCTAAAGGTTCACAATATTTATTATGTCTGTAAAAAAAATAGGCTGCAAATAATATACACAATAAATTCAACACCATAGATCTTCTCTTCCATTTTAGAGAGATAGCTTCAGAAGATTCTTTAGTAATATTACGACAATTTCTCATTATATAATATGCTATTTGCATATGAATGACAGATGTTATTAAAAATGTTATAAAAGATATTTTATGAAAAACTGAAATGAAGAGAAATTAAATACTAAATTATTTTGTATTTGAAATATTATAGTGATATTTTATATACATACCATAATTCTCATTGGATGTCCAAAAACTTAATGATATAAGTGATATGTTTTCAAAAGCATAGATAATAGTTGCAATATTACAAATATTTTGTGCCCATTTATAGATATGCTCTTTATAATAACGACGATACATTATTAATACTAAAATTCTTACCACTGCTTGCATAGCTATTGCAATTTTCCAAACATCTCTTTGTGGCCTGTAATGTCCAATCGCAGCAGATACTGATGGTAAAAAATTATAAACCTAACATAAAATATTATTTATTTATAGTATATGTATAAATATACATATATATATATATATATATATATAACATTATAAGAAAAAATACTTACTTTACAATGCGTAGAAGTAGAATGCTCAAAATTATATACAACAGACCAAGTGATACAAAATAAAAATGCGAAAAAGGGTAA